TTCTTTTTCCTAAGGATGGTTTTGGCAATTCTGAGTTTTTTGTGATTCCATATAAAGTTTAAGATTATTTGTTCTAGTTCTGTGAAGAATGTCCTGGGTAATTTGATAGGGATCACATTAAATCTGTAGGTTGCTTTGGGTAATATGGCCATTTTAACAATATTAATTCTTCCAATCCAAGAGCACAGGATGCCTTTCCGTTTCTTTAAGTCACAAAGCCACTTATTTACTCTCCACAGAGTCTGCTGTTGTTAAAAGTTTACCCTATTTGCTATAGATGACAGATGATTGATGATAGATGGATAGATAGAGCAATGAGTGAATGCCTGTGCCCCCCTCCAAATCTGTATATTAAAACCATAATCCCAAATTATGATATCTGGAGGTGAGACCTTTGGGAGGTAATTAGATCATCAGAGTGGAGCCCTCACAGATGGGATTAGTGCCCTAATAATCAGCTGGCTTGTTTTCTGCCACGTGAGGACACAGCTGTAAACCAGGGCAAAAGACCTTACCAAGGACCTCTCCAGGCCTGCATCTTCATCTCAGACTTCCAGCCTCCAGAGCTGTGAGAAGCAGAGCTTTGTTATTTAATTTGTTTATGGTAATTTGTTACAGCGGCCTATAGAACTAAGACAGACAGATAAATAGATAGATGGATAATAGTTGGAAAGAGAGAGAGAGAGAGAGATCTTCTTTTCTGAACATGGTTCTTACCTCTAAATACTTTAGAGTATGCCTCCCATAGGAAAAGGAAACTTCTCTCTTTTTTTTAATTTTATTTGTTTTGTTTTCATTTTTGTTTTGGAGGGAGGTAATTAGGCTTATTTACTTATTTATTTTAACAGAAGTACTGGGGATTGAACCCAAGACCCCACACACCCTATGCATGTGTTCTACCACCAAGCTACACCCTCCCCCTGAGGAATAGTCTCTTACATAACCACTGTACAGTTACCAACTTCATACAGTCACACTGACACAATAATTTTATTTAATCTACCAGCCATGTTCTAATTCAGTCAGTTGACCTAATAATGTCCTGTATAGCATTTTTCTCCTTCCAGTGCAGAATTGTTGAACTTTCACTGTAAGAGCTTTTTTTTTATTGTTATTGTTGTTGTTTATGAATTAAATTCTTTGGTTAAATACTTTTCAATCCCTTAAATCAGAGTCAATCCAGGGACACCCCTTCTCAGGACTCAGACTTGCAAGAACAGTTCACACTTTACCTCATCCCTTCCAAATCTGTCCTCTTGTTTTATTCTCTTCAGTCCCTTTTTCTCAGGTAACAAACAGAAGGTAATACTAACTTCAGACCCAGGTAAGGTGGACTCCTGCCTGGGTCCCTGTGCCTCGGGGCCCTGCACTCCCCTGTGCCTTCATGAAATTTTGACGACTCTCTACCCGCACTGCCCTAGTGCTGGGGCTTGACTGGAGCTGGCAGCATTGTCTGGTGGCCCTGAGCCTGGGCAGAGGGCGGCATGTGCCCAGTCTCTGTTTCTCTGCTTTAGACTTCTCTCCAACCCTCCATCCTGTGCACGGGGTGGGTTCGGTGCCCCAATTTGCTCTAAAGCTTGTGCCTGTGGGGTCATCCTGAGGCCCTGGAGTTGGGCTGCAGTTTTCAGAAGGCAAGCTGGTGAGTGCTGCTCACCAGTTGTACTGCTCCCAAAGTGCTGACAGGCACAGAACTGCTTTCAGGGGAGGGGTGAGACTGGGCTACACTGGAAGGGTGCTGACACTCAGATTTTGAGTGATTCTCAGTCACACGGACACAGGATGAGTTCAGAACGCTGGGCTCCCAACAGCCTATGGCCCACCCTTGAGTTTGAACAGCATATGTGGTCTCCTGCATCCCGAGTCACCCACCATGCTTCCCCCATGCTGCTGCCTCTGGTCTCCAGCACCCAAAATGGCACCCCCCGCTGCTGGCACTCAGGGCAGTCACCTCATCACTCCACAGGCTCTGCACCACATGTCACACTGTCCTTGGGGGTGACCACACCCATCTGCTCCAAGCAGGAGGTGAGACTGTTGCTCTACCACGTCAACAGGCCCTTCTAGTCCATGTCTTCTCTTGCCTCCAATTGATGTGGTGACTTTGTGCTCTCCAAGGTCCAGCTGAGCCACATGGGGGTCAGGGCTTCCTTGTATGAGTTGGATGACTCTTGCTCTACCTACAGACCCCCCCCACCTGCCCCACTGGCCATGGTGGGTCAAAACCAGGGGTGCAATCAACAAGGAAAGAAATCACATTTTAGGACTGCTGTGACTGCAGCCTCAAGAGTTCAAGAGAAGACACAGTTGGAAAGTGTTCTATATATATATATATATATATATATGCTATAAAATGCCAAGTGATAAATTTAACACAGCCATAAAATAAATCACTGTGCACATTTTCCTGTATACTGTGTGCATTTGTGGTCATCTTCAAAGAATCACAGGAACAACCTTCAAAGAGCCATCGGAAGCCAGTCTCACAGGGAGCAGGATGGATGGTGCGGCACCATGAATAATGGTGTAACCAATGTGAAACAAATGGCATCAGGACACGTAGTCAAGAAGAGCTATAAAATTTCAGTGCAGACAGGTCCTGAGAGCTATGGGACTTGAATAATAAGTGTTGTTACTTTTTTTCCCTCAGTGGGAAATATGAAATTACCCAGTAACAGCACATTTGACAACAAAGAATATGAAGAACTGATTCCTGGATCTAAACTGAGACAGTGTCTAGATACCATGAAAAATCGAGTGTTCTGATTGGTCAGTAAACAAATACATCAGTACCTCTTTTCTAGTCATCATTCTAAACCTTTAGTGACAAATCACTCTGCCTCAGATGTTCACGAATTTTGCAAAATATTTTAAAATGAAATTGATTATCTAAACAAAGGACCCACATGAAAACTATGCATCCAGGATCCCATATACCCTCGGGGTGGTCTTGAAGCAAGAGATGGAGTGAAGAGCTCCACTATGTCCCAGTTCTAAAAAGTGCACCACAAAGGATGAGACTGTCACAAAGATGACTGAGTTTTCCTGGCATCTTTATCAATTTTCATTTCTTTTTAAGGATCAAGGGAAGCAGAAAAATCATACTTGGAGAATTTGTCTTAGGTTCTGTAACAGGTAGAAATGCTGGTTGAATCTTGAGGCCAATATCAAGAGTCTCTGACTTCTGCTCAACAGGGTGAACTTACTGAGGCCACATAAACACCCCTGTCCAAGGAAAGAATGAGGACAATATGACTTTGCAGCCATACAACTTGAAGAAACAGCATATGAGGGATGGGCTGCCGGTCTAACTAGAGAATGAAGTATAAAATAACACGACTGCAAGCTAAGGAGAAGGACAATTCATTATAACAAGAAGGTTCCCTGGCAATGTCTAGGGAGTCACTGTGGCTTTATTCACAGTTAAAACAAAACTTGGGAAAGAAGCTGAGCTTTTTTCAAGACCGGTTGAGTCCTAGTCCTCTGTTCTTTGGCAACTGCTTCCCTCTCTTTCCGCTCCTTCTGTGCCAGTGCACACAACATATTCCCTGGGCACTGAGCCCCCTGCTCTGTGGAAGAGCTCAAACAAACACGGTAGATTCTGGTCCTCACTCACAGCAGTACTTGTACACTCAGAAGTGCTGACATCTACATGGATTCTTCTTCCATCAGTTTCATTGCTTTGAAGCATAGCCATTCCTTCCTTTGCTTTGTCATAATTATGTCCATGGGTATCTCCACCCATTTGCCCAAAGAGCCGTGAGAAATGTGTAACTCTAGAACAGCAGAAACATAACCCACTGCCACTTCCCTTTTTTGGAGTCCCTTGCCTAGGTCAGGGATAGCACTTGCGGTATTAATGCTCTGTCGGGGAGAATTACAAAAGTGTAAGTAAGTTCTATTTGCGCAGAATTCTAACATCAGCCATCACTGGAAACCACAATTCATTCAAACAAAAGTTATGTGCAGTAGCTCTGCCATTTAGAGGGGGCGAGTTATCCATCTTTCCTTTGTTTAGTAAAGCATGCTCTTCTGACAGGTTGCTAATCTCTATTTCTGTCACTGCACTGGTAGTGGAAATCCGACAGAGGCTGTAGCTTTGTTTGGCAACCTCAGACAGGACTGGGAGAAGGAAAAAGGTTTAAAAAAAAAAAAAGAGTATGGTACAAGGAAACTAAGAAAAAGGAAAAGAAAAGAAAGAGGGATTGGATACCACCAGCAATGGCCCATCTATCAGAGAGAAGCTCTCAGGCCGTGGTAACGTACTGTTTGTAAGGTACATGCGGCGTATAGCACAGCAGAGCAACAGCAGAGGTTGTGTCTTGAAAATGAATTGGCTAAGGAGGATTGCCTATCTTGCTGAATACATATGTAAACTTCGTTACCAATCAGTATTTCTTTCATTGTTGCGTTTCAGTATCCTTCTTTAAATAAAGGCAAAGGCTGTGATGCAGTGTGATGCAGAGTTCACCTAGCACAATGCCCTTTATTCCAGCAAGTCTATTAACATAACAATAATTGTGCCCAAGGCCATAACACAAACACCAAACAGAAGACATTGTTTTCCTCCTGGCTTTAAAAAGTCTTCAGTATATGGGGTGATTCCGTTGCTTTAATTATTTTTCTGAAGTTTGTAAATAATAGCTACCATTTAGTGAATGTTTATAATGCTCCAGATATGCTTTAAGACATTTAAAGATAATAGTTGATGGAAGTCTTGCAACAGCCCTGCTCTGACTTTGCAGATGAGGAAACGGAGGTCAGAAAGACTAAGAAACCCTCTGCAAGTGTCACAGTAAGAGATGGAGCTGGGTTATAACCACAAAGAAGTTCATTCAGAAGCACTTTTGCTCTCTCAGATATTCCAAAGCATCACGTCAATGAGCATCAGCTGGCGGAAAAGGCAAATCACAAGACTTCTTGATTTGAGTCTACTCACTGTATCTGCAGTTAATGCCATTCATCAACGAAATAAATATGCTTTCTCCTGTCCCGATTTTTAGAGTGCTGTGTTTCCTGGGATCTGGCAAAGGCTGAGTATTCATTCAGGAAGCGAGCAAACAACTGGTGGAATCTCTTCACAGTGTCATGGACAGTTTACTCATTGTTAAGCATCCACAAGACCCTCAAACCTGGACAGAACATGAAAGAACATTGTTCCTGCTCCATCTTCTAAATAAGTCAGAGTACCCCAAGTAAGGATCAGCAGAACTTTCTACTGCCTGTAGTAGGTGGGACGTTGTACACTGTTAGGTATGATCATCTGGACATACAGCATTTCATTTTTCATTTTGTTCCCCAAAATGAAAGCCAGCAGGAGCAAGTTCCTTAAACCAAGTACCCTCCTACCACTGTGCTGGTGGGACTGGTGAGGGATGGGAGGCTGTTCCTATTTAGTTCTGAGAACTAACACACATAATGGAAATGCGATCTCACAAAACTATACCTCTGGGGAAGCATCACCTTTCAGTCTCACAACCTTTAATTACCTATAATTCACGCTTTCATAATGGAATTATGGGCTAACATCACATTTGTGCACAACACAGACTTCACACAAGCAGTGAAATGGGCATAAATCAATTACAGCAGCCTGGTCAATCAAAGACACGTAAGTAGCTACTTATCCATATGCCATTCTAGAAAAATTTCCCCTTCCTTTTCAGTTTATCTCCAGGGTACAAAAGCCTAAGTCCAAGGAAAAAAGAAACATCCTATCATTTCTATGTCCATTTTTTCCAAGGAGAGCTTCAAACTCAACTTTAGAAATTTTCTCAAAAGATACTCTCTTAATGGTAATATTCAAATAATTTAATATTTAAATTTTGAAATATTAGAAATATTTTAATATTGATAACCAACTTTTGGTGGACTTTTTAGTTTGCAGAGCAAATTCACATATTATTCTTATAACACTCCAAACAATGCTGGGAAAGGTCAGGCCATGTGATCACCAACACTTTACACATAAAATTATGAACGGAAAGAGGTGACGTAACATGATTACTGGTCACATGGCTGGGAGATACAGTTGAAGTTCAAGCCCAGGTTTTCTGAGGCTGAAATGTTCAGCAAAACTCCACTTTAATATGATTCAGTCCATAGTCACATAAATTTTATTAAACAGAAATCAAGAAAATATTTCAAGGCTAGACCATCTGAGTGTTTTCCTGAGATATTTTCTGTAAATTCAAGCCGAGCGCAATTTCCACCACATGAAAGACAAGGGAGCAAAACTGAACTGAACATGAAAACCAAGTTATTTTTACTGCCCATGCTGTATAAAAGGAAAGAGGAGGAAAAAGCTGAAAGATCAAATGACAAAGAAGTTTCTAAATCTGTCGCTGGGTAACGTATTGCCAAATTCTTGGTGTTTTTAACCCAAGAAGTTTGAATTTTGCATCCCACTACAAAGGGTTCATATTCCATTCTTTCTCTCTCTCTCCCCCCCCTCCCCCCTCTCTCTTTCTATTTCGTTCCCCCCCGCCCCCGCCCCGAACCACCCTCTGGAGCACAATGGGAGAGAGGCAGGCTTACTGATCAATACATGTATAATTCATAAAAGTAAAGGGAACTGTTTTCCAGTCTTTGACATATTCTCTTTTCCTCTCATTTTTCCTAATTTTCCAGGCATGACATTGTCTAATGAAGGCACAGGGTGCTGCAGACCCAGATAAAACACAGAGGACATGACGTATGCCTGGAGAGATGCATCTGGGGGCACAGAAACCCACCGCGGACGTCTTCATTCTCCATGTCTGCATATCCGATCACCTAGAAAACGTTTGTGGGCCGCCAGTAATTCTTTCCAAAGCCGTATTTAACCTTCTGAAGTCACATTAGCTGTCAGAGCTTTGGCATTTGTGGCCTCAAAAACAGATCAATATACTCTCTATTTTGAAGGGTATCAGGTTCTCCGGGTCA